GAATTTTTTCTTTTATCATTATATAATTTTTACATGTCCATCCTAATTTGTATTTCTATACTATACTAATTTATATAGTTGTGTATATTTTATCAAAATTTTGCACAATTTTGTATATATAGTACTACTTTACTAACTACCTTTCCATCAAACCTGAGCTCAAAATATTGATTTAAATAACTAATCAACTTTAAATAACCTTAGTAAAGCAAAAAGTTACATAGTTTGAGAAATAAAAACATAAATTATTCTGCAACATTTAAGTTAAAACCTCATTTAATTGATATAATTTGTCAATAAAAACTTTCTTTCAAATTAGTGATTTAAAAAATTATTTTTAGAACATTGAAAATATAAACCTATAATATTGTATAGATATTGTAAAACATATAAAATATAGAACTATCTAAATTGAACATTAAACTTCTAGATGCTAAACAAGAATAACAATTTAGCCAGCTGCTAATGGAGTTCTTAGATCTTTTTGCACAAGATACAACAGAACTAAGATGCACTGATCTAGTAACTTATCGAATCTATATAGAAGAAGAACCTTCTATTCAATTTCAACCTTACTCTTCTTCTTCTATATAATAAACATTTATTAAAGAAGAAATTCAACAACTGCTTGATAGTGGACTTATATAATCCTTCTCTAGTTCTTGAACCTTACCAGTTGTATTAGTTAAAAAAAAAATAGCAAATTATGATTTTGTGTTAACTATTGTAAACTCAACAGTATTACTAAAAAAGATGCTTATCTTTTATTTCATATTAATAAAATGCTTAATATCTTAAAAGAATCCAAGTGGTTCTCTATACTTGACCTTGCAAATAATATTAACAAGGTGCTATACATTTCACAGATAGAGAGAAGACTGCTTTTGTAACTTAATATATATTTATGAATTTAATATAATGCTCTTTAGACTATGTAATATATCTGTGACCTTTTAATAATGAATGGATAGAGTATACTAAGACATTGCATAAAATTTGTAGTAGTTTACCTTAATGATACTATAGTATACTCTAAGATCTTTGATGAATATTTAAAACATTTATGACAAACATTTATTAGAATTAGAAAAGCTGATTTACAATTAAACTTAAAAAAATGCAATTTTTAAATGCAAAGTCTACTTTTCTTAGGACATACAGTTACCTCAATTGGAATAGCACCTAACTCTCAAAAGATAGAAGCTATCCAAAAGATTCAACCACCTAACAATATAATTCAACTATATTCAATCTTAGAACTAGTATGTTACAACCAACAGTTCATTTATAATTTCTCTAAAGTAGCATAATCTTTAAACTAGCTACTATAAAAAAAAACTCTTTATATATGGAATGAACTACAACAGAAAGCTTTTGAAGAATTAAAACAGAAACTGACTACAGCTTTAATATTAAAGTATCTTGACTTTGATCGACTATTTATTTTAGCTACTGATGCCTCTTATTATAGATTTGAAGCTACTCTTAATTAATTAAATAGAAATAAAAAAGAATACACTGTAGCCTATACAAGTAAAAGTTTAACCAAAAGTGAAGTTAATTATGATATTACTGAACTTAAATGTGCTGCAGTTGTGTAGACTATCAAACATTTTTATAAATATCTTGAAACTGCCAAATTCATTCTCATTATTGACCATTTTGCTTTCAAATAATTACAATCTGCTAAACCTAAAGAATGCTTGGGAAGGTGGATTCTAAAACTCCAGCCCTATAGCTTTGAAATTATTTATAAACCAAAAAAAGTACACTTTAATATAGATGCTCTATCTTGACTTTAGACACAAACCTCATACCAAAACCTTTTCTTATGAATTTGGACCTCTATTATAATTTATATAATTATATAGAATCAAACAAATTATCTAACTCCTTATTACAGAAACATATTAAACAATTACAATATTATGCTAGATATTTTATTACTAAGAAAGGACTATTATACAAGAAAAGCAAAAAGAACCTTTAGTACCCTCTTCATGTTGTCAAGTAAAATAAAGTAGAACCTGTTCTGTATATTATGCATAAGCACTCTACTGCAAGATACTTAGAAACAGATGCTATGTATTATAAAATAGCTGAATAATATTATTAAAACTAAATATATTAAGATATACATAAATATATTAGAATATATAAAGAGTGCCAAAAGAGACTAAAAGACTATGAACTAAACCTTTTTATTTTATTTAAATAGAATAAGCCTTTAAATAAATTAGAATTAACTTAGTAGAGTCTTTACTAATTACCAAACAAAATAATTGAAATATTATTAATGATACTGACTATTTAACAAAATAGCCAGAAGCCTGTACTGTATCTGATGTCAGAGCAAATACCTTAGCTTAGTTTATTTTCGAAGAAATTATTTGTCAACATGGAATACCAAAGATTATTTTCTCTAATTAAAAAAGAAATTTTATTAGTGAAACTGTTCACATTTTATATAAAAAGTTTCTTATTAAAATAAGTTCTCTTCATCATACCATCTACAGATAAATGAAATAGTTGAATGTCTTAATCGAATCTTATATAAATCTCTCATTAAAGTAAAAAAAAATAATAACTAGAACTTAAAAATACCTGCTATACTGCTTGCTTATCAAACAAAAAAGCATGCTACAGCTAAATATATTTACTTTTAGCTTGTATACAGATAACAAGCTGTTCTTCTAATTGAAGCTTTACTATCTGTTGAACTCTATGAAGAAACAAAATACAGCTTACAAGATAGCATATTGCACTAAATATTTAAGCTTATCAACAAGCTACCTGAATTGCAGAATGATGCAAGAAAAAAGACCAATGAATTGTAACAGAACAGAAAGAATACTTTGATGCCAAAATTTGTTATAAAATATTTGAAATAAGTAACAAAGTATAGATAATTAGAAAGAATATAGAACATTCTCAATTAGCTAAATTCGAAGATAAAAGAACTAAACCCTTTGTTATTCAAGAAAAATTAAACAATAATGCCTATAAACTTTGTAATAACAAAGAAAAAACTTTACAAAAGTACTATAATAGTGATCGTCTTGTTAAATATTATAAAAAACAAATATAAGAACCTTTTGTTCTTATCAAATAACTAGAATTTCTGAAAGAAATTTCTAAAACTGAGAAAAAGACAATAATATTATACAAATTTTTCAATATTACAATTTATTCGAAGATTGTGATACTTAAAAATTTATAAAAACATTCTTGAATTATACAAATTTTTCTAAAAATAGAATTTTTAAAACTACAACCAGAAACAGTAATCACTTTAAACAACTTTTTCTAAATCTGAAAACAAAATCTTATATCTCAAAATTACTTAGATATATTATCTTAAAATATTATTCTTTGAAGTAATAAAGAACTAAAAAAAGTTATTGACTTAAACCTCATAATTGAAGCCTCTGTAGAATTAATATTGATGAATTTCTATAATTAGAAAAAATACAATTTTCTCTAATCGAAACTCTACTTAATGAAGTAACCATAAAGTTAAAAAGTAATAATACTAACCATCTAACTTAAATAATAAATAATTTAAAACAGACACCAGTGCCAATAACTCAAAGTATAACCAACTTTTTTTCTGAAAGAACATAAAAAGAACAAGTTAATTAAATCTTAAAGTTCTTATTTACTTTTGAACATACTCAACATAACCTTAGCAAAAAAATTAAAGCTTACTATTATCTAGGACAAATAATCTTAAAGTTCAACAACCTTTTAGAAATTAAAAACCTTATTCAAAATGCTTAAGTAACAAGAAGAGTGAAGGATACTTAGAAAAGTGCTTTCAGAATATATGAAGTCCTTGAATTATAACTAAAAGAAATAACTCTACAGTTAAAATATATGACTGCAATACATATTTTCAAGTTGCTAAATAATAAGTACATCCAACTTCTTGAATCAATTAGAATATAGAATTTATAGAGTAAATTTTTAAAGAAAATAGAAATGTTATAAATGAATTACAGTAATACCTCTCTAAGTGCACACCTTTGGGACCAGGTATAAGTATGCACTTAGAGAGGGTATGTATTTAGGGGGGTATTCGATTAGCCAATTAGAATCAAGAATTAAATATCTATAATATAAAAAATATATATTTTGGTACTACTGTATACCCAGTGTTTAAAATCTATATGCAGATCTTTATACAGTTAAAATTTTCTTTGAACTCAGGTTACGCACTAATGACAGTATATATATGTATGTACCTTCTAGAGCTTATCTAAATGCACATACATACTATGTATATTTATATTAATTTATTACAATACATGAGCTAAATTGTGTAAATATTCTGTTCTTTCTGAGTTAAGGTGAAATACATAAAGAATGATTATTTATTTTTCTTTTTTTACTATCTTATGTATCTGAGGAGTATTTATTGTTATGATATTTTAATGATATTTGCTATTTTATTTTTAAGGATTAAATGCCTTTATTAATTCAATAAATTCAATATTGAAAATGCAGCTTTGAATTTCTAAATTTTTAATTCATTTCGTTATTGTGCTATAAAAATTTTAAATTAGTTGTTATTGTAAGATTAACGCATTGTATATAAAATTTACATGAACATATTTACTAAAACGAATGTTGAAAGCAGTTTAGGCAAAAGCTACAACTTGAAACCAACCAGATTTAAGTTAAAAGCATAGCCTTAATCCATGGCTTCAAGTTAAAAGTGTAGTTTACATCCATGGCTTAAAGCTAAGCTTAAATTAAATTCGATCCAAAGCCATAGTTCAAAGTTATAATAATTTAAAATTACAATCAAGTGATGACTTGTTTTAAATAAAGCCACATTATTTAAATAATACTTCTAAGGGCACAGCCTCATTAAATGATCTGCAGTTAGTACAGCCAGAACCTTGGTTCTGGTTATAGATTCTTAAATCTTAAAAGTAATATTTTTATATAAAGGAATAATTTTATTAATCATAATTTTTGCAGTACAATCTTGTAAAATGCTCAAAAGAACTATTCTTACAGATTCTCAAAAATGTGAACTTTGTATATATGCTTGTGACAATAAATTAACTCGATCCCAGTATGTTGATTGGATAGAACAACAATAGGGTATTAGAGTTGATGAAAGCACAATTTCACATATTTTTAAAAAAAAAGATGAATGAATTAGTTCTCAAATTATTAATTCAAATGCCAAGCATCATAAAGTGGTAACATACCTAGAACTTGACCAAGCTCTAAAAGAATTTGTACTAATTTATCAAAATAAAACGATTTTAAGTGATGCAATACTTGTCGAAAAAGCCAAACTACTTGCTAATGGCTTGAGAATTCCTGAGGGTGTGTTAAACTTTTCTCATGGTTGGCTTGATAAGTTTAAAGATCGAAACAATATTCATCAATGTAAACTTGAAGGGAAAGCAGAGTCAGCAGATGAAGTAGCTATTATTAACACCTTACCTGCTCTAAGAAACAAGTGTTCCAACTATCCTATCGAAAGAATCTATAACATGGATGAGACAGGGATTTTTTTAGGTATAAGCTTTATTAATACATTTGTGTGCTGCAAAAAAAAAAAGGATACAGTGTCTAGTAATAGAAAAATGTGCATTTTCTAATAACATGCACATTCATGCGCATGTTGTATAAAATGTACATAACATAATTTTCAGAAATAAAATTTAGATAGGATAAAAATTAATGCGCATTAATGCGCATGATTAAAAATCATATACATGGCATTAATTATTTATTTAAATAATCAATGATTCTATTTTTCTTTGAAAATATATATTAATTACTAAAACTTACTTTATAGGTTAGAACCTGATCGATCATTAGCAACTCGATGTCTTTTTGGGCACAAAGTAGATAGAGAACGTCTTTTAATTGCATTATGCACAAATGCTGATGGCTCTCATAAAATGGTCTCTTTTGTAATTGGCAAATATGCCAAACCATGCTGTTTTAAAAATATTAATCTTAAAAATTTAGCTGTTATATATAAAAACAGTGCCAAGGCATGGATGATTACTTCCCTCTTTCAAACATGGCTTCAAGAGTTTGATTGTCAAGTTGGTTTAAAATATTAGGGTCAACATGTACTATTGGTTCTTGATAATTGTTCAAGTTATAAATTAGATGGCCTTACTTTACAATTCACAGATATTGTATTTCTTCCTTCGAGAGCAACCTCCAGAATCCAACCACTGGATGCTGGAATCATAATGAGCTTCAAGAAACACTACTGTCATCTTCATATTCGGTAAGATTATAACTGTTTTTGCAAATAAGATTTACATATATATATATATATATTTTTTTTAAGCTAAATATTAGAGCATGTAGAAAAGGGTGAACATGCTGATGGACTAAAAATAGATGTATTGCAAGCTATATGTTTCATCATTCAAGGCTGGGATGAAGTCACTGCTGAAACAATTTGCAACTGCTGGTGTTATATGAATATCCTCTCTATTGATACTAATGCTAAATTATATAGTATTACAGATAATGTTCATCAGACTATAGATCTGGCACTTGATGATCTTACCAATGCACTTGAAGACCTCCATATTCACTTTGATGACCCAATGTCAGTTGAAGAGTTTCTTTCTATCTCTGCAGAAGATGTTGTTTATGAAATTCCTGCAAATGACCAAGTTATTGAAGAACTTATAAAAACTTTCAAGCCAGTCGATTTAGCTTGTGATGATTTGAAAGATGATGACAGTATTGAAATCTCTTTAATTAGCATCGATATGGCGATTACAAGCTTGAAGACTGTGTCTATGTTTTTGCTTCAACAAGATGAAGCAAATGAGTATGTTAAGATTATTAAAAAAATTGAAAAATTTCTTAAAAAAAAAAAAATAAACTGACAACAGCAAAGTAAGATTAATGACTATTTTACAGAATAATAAAAAAATAGTTATTTTAATGTTTCCTTTGTAAATAGCAAACTATTTTTTTCTTGTTTATTGCTATTGTAATTTTTCAATAAATAATTCAACAGCCTTTGATTTGAAAAACCTGAAAAATTAAAAAATAGAACCTGAAAGAATATTATTAGATTATTTTGCATAAAATAAAAAAATAAAAATTGTATAAATATCTCAAAGAGCCTTTATAACACATATGTCTAGTGTGTTAAAATTAGTGATTAAATGTGTTTAAATAAACTTGAGTAAATTTCTTCCCAGCATTGCTAGGTTATACAATAGAAACTTCTTGTTTCAACTCACAAGGTAAATATTGGCACTTTGAATAAAGCATTGAGTTGAAAAGTTGTAATTCATGTTTAAGAAAGATAATCCTTCTATGACATCAAATTACCTGTTCATCAATGAGATATGATCTCGAATTTTATTAGTTCTTAATCATGTGAGTGCACTTATAGGGTGTGCACGCATAGGTCCAGGCAGTAAAAACCTATGCACATGCAGAACATAGAGGTGTGCACTTAGCACTAAGTCCTGAGCTTGGGACCAGGCTATAGTATGCATTTAAAGAGGGTGTGCACTTAGGGAGGATGCACTTAGGAAGGTATTACTGTACCTTCTATTTTCAGTCATTCTATGATGCCAAAGGTGCTTCCAATCTTGATAAGGCTAATCTTTTGTTACAGACCTTCTATGCATGCACTGCTTCTCTCACTACTCCAGTGTGTGTTACCTTGACATTACCTTCCCAATCAATTACTTTTCAAGTTGGATGTGAAGAAGTTGGTACTGCCCCATCTCTGAAAGACTTATATGTGCAATACTTCATGTAACAGAACCTTCTGTGATGCCACTATCACCTATAGTACCTGCTCTCTGCAAAGTCAGTCTCCTTCTGGGAATTCCTTTTTCTGTCATGTACTACACTTGGACTTAACCACAAGGTTTCGTGTTCAATTACTGGCTCCTTATAGATTACAGAGACTAAAATCTTTTGGATTTTTGCCTCCAGCCAGACTTAAACTATTGATCTTGACTGTAGAGATATAGAAGCTTAACAATTAAGCTATGGAACCCACACCCTACACTTTGGAATTATAGAAAAAGTAGTTAATAAAAGCCAAAGTTTTTTATCAAGTAAACAACAAAGTTGAATATATTAGTTTTATACAAATGTAAAATTTACAAGAAACATCTATAAAAATCAAAAACTTACAAAGACTACAAAGTTGGTTTATCTTTTGTCTTTATTTTGCTTTAAGAAAATTTTGTAAAAATAAATGATTTAGCTTATTTCCTTCTAAAAATCAATACATAAAACTACTAAAACAGTCAGCAGTATTTATTTTCTAAATAGGTTTGTTAATGATGTAGATTAGAAACAACACAGTAATACAAACATGACTATACACATATATTGAAATACTAAAAACCTAAAAATACTGCCTTTAAACTAACTAGTGCTCTATATCAACTCTCTATAATCAAATCAAAGATTTTTTCTTTTTTATATAGTTTTTAATTAAATACTTTAAGTAAATAGAAAAATAGTAGTGTTATTTCTATTTAGTATAGTTTATAATTTTTAAAACCTGACACAGGCATACAATTTTGACTGTCTAATATTTGTGAATTGCAATTTTTATACATTTTCTTTTTTCTTATTTATTTTTTTTTTTTTTATTTTTTGATTTGTATCTTTTATTGTTTACTTCTATATCTCTGTTTTGTTTTTTACTAAAAAATTTTTTTTTGTTTTTTGCTTCTTTATAAAAAGATGTCATCGGATTGGTAATATTCTATTGTAGGACAGCAGTCAAATAAGCAGTCTATCTTTAACTAAAATAGTATAACAGGTCATACTTAGATATTATTTGAATAACTAAGTAATACTAAACTTATATATTAGAAAAATTCTATATAATTTGTATAGTTTCAAGAATCTTAATAAAGTACTAGTATAACTGTTAAAGTTAAAAAAAAAAAAAAAAAAATAGAAGCTCATACTAGTTTATTTGTAATCTTAACCAATAGAAATAGTCAAGACTCATCTAGATTTGAATATTAGTAATTATATATAAGAGATTAGTTTGGTATTTAATTTATTATATATATCAGAAATTAATTTTAGAATGAGTAAAATTAAAAAGAAAAGATTAAAATGAGTATGAAGTAAAATTAAAAAATGAATTAAAAGTAAAAGAATGAGTGATTGATCTTAAAATATAATAAGGAATTCAAATTTTATAATATATTTGTTGATTACAATAAAGTAAAAATTTAATAACAAGTATTGTAATTATTTTTATAGATAATAAATTTGAGATAGTTTTATTTGGTACTAAGCCATATAAAGTTAAAAAAACTAATAATAGATCTACTATATTGTGTATAGTTATATAATACAGTTGTTTAATTTTACAGTATAGTTTGGTTATAGTTTCAAAAGTAGTGTTAAATATATTGTATTTAAAGTATATTGTAGTGAATTGTTGATAAGATTGTATAGCAGCTGATCAGATAAACATATTATTCAATAAAAATAAAACTAGTTTTATAATATAAGTGACAAATTAATAAATATGAGTAATAATGTTTATTTTTATTTTTTTAGTATTAAGATGACCTCTTTGGTCTTTTGACTTTTATTAATTACTTATTAGTATTGTGGTTCAATAAACTATTACAGGAGAGCATACAATTGGCTATATATGTAACTTTTTTATATTCTCTATTTAAGAAGTCCATCTAAAAGTTTTCTATCAATTGCCATATCTAATACCTCTGTTTGGGTATTTTACTTTAAACTCTTTAAACCTGTAATTTGTGTTAACTCACTGGATTATACTCAGATGCCCAGATCATTATCTCAACCTTAGGACTAATTTATCCTTAAGATAAACCCTTTAGAGCCTTCTGTATTTATTTTTACAGCTAATATAGGTATCAATATGGCAAAACTAACACTTGTGATTAAAACTTAACTATTAAACTATTATGACCTTGTAGAATTCACTTAGACCTCAGTATCTACTTTGTAGCATAACTTTGATACTTTAGATATCTCTAAATTTCATCAGACTTCCAATTTAGATGGCCTATATAGAACTACAACCAGTTTATTAGTATATTAGATTGGCTCAATATTCTTTTTCTTTAGTTCATTCTGGCAGTCTGGTTGGTAATACCTCTAAAACTCTTAATCTGAAGGTTCTTGTCTGTCTAGTTACTAAGATCTGGATATCTATTTTCTCAAGCTAGCCTTTACAGTAATGCTGTTGAAGATTTAGCTACTTCTCTACTTAGGTTTTCTCAAATAGATTTCTTGTTATCCAATTTCAACAGATTTATATAATCATAAGGACTTATCTAGTGTTTGTACTATCCAATTACTGGTTTGCATTCCTTCATGTAACCACAGACCTTGTCCCAAAGAACAATGTTATGTGACTTACACAAATGCCCCATGACCTATCAGTTATGCTGATGTAATCACTATTACAGATATTCTAATCCAATTGTTAGTAACAGTTGCTGTAATATAAATATTACATAGATAATTATTCAAATTTTCACTATCGATAAGATTTGAACACTTAACCTACTACTTGGAAGGTTGACAACCTAACTACTTTATGAGATTGCTACACTCTCAAGTGATAATGTTTATATAGAATATATAAAATAAAAAGATTATTAAGTAAGATTTTAAATCTAAAGGATTTAAGAGCAAAAAATTGAAAGCTATATGAAAAGTTTAAGATTTTTTGATTATTGTTGATGCATAGTTAAGTGGCTTACTAATTAATTTGTTTAAAAATTTTGTTCTATTTTTGAAATCAGTTTTGTGTAATTTTAATATATAAATATATAAATAACAAATTGTATGAATATTATAATAAGTAGATAATTTTAAAAAAAAGTTTTTAAAATTAGAGTGTAGGATAAATTATAAATATTGTAAGCCATAAAAGTTAGATATATCACAATTTACTTACTTTTATCTTTTCTCACTTATTTAATCAAATGCATGCTTAGGCTGTTATTTTAATTCTTACACAATAGCTAACAAATACACAATCATTATTCCTATTAATGTTTTAACTAAATTTTATAGTCAAGTTAATACATACAAAAAAACTTATAACTTTAATGCCAACCATCTTGACCTTATATATTTTATTGGAATTAGACACTCTATTTAAACTCCAAATACTTCTAATATTACTATTACAATATACTTAATTCCAAATATCTTTGAACACAGTTTACTTATAAACAACCTTTAACAAATTGCTAACTATAATTTCAACTCATCAAAACTTCACTTTTATACAAATGGCTCAGTTATAAACTTGGATACCTCACAATACTCAATGGGTATCAGATGGGCTCAAGTTTTAAATAACTCTATACTTCATATCTTTCAAGCTTAAACTAAATATTGGCCTTGCTTATTCAAGTCTAAGCTTATTGCTATTCTATCAGCTCTCATTACTGCTTCTAGAAACTGTTACTTAAACATATATACAGACTCACAATCTGTAATCTCTAAATACAACAGTCTTTCAAACCCAACAACAACTATATTATATACTCATATACCATACTTCTTACTATAGAACATACTTATCAACTTCATCAAATAATATAATATTTATATAATCTTTTACAAAGTTACTTCTCATCAAAATGATAAATATAACAATCTTGCTAACTAACTAGCATATAACTATTACAACCTACCATATCTTATTTTTACACCTTATAATACTTACAACTTAGCTTATACTTTTAACTTTTAAGAATTTTCTCTTAGAGTTACCTACTCATTGCAGCATTTATACAATATGTTATGCATATATATATGCATTTTAGATAACACAAAATCACTTTCAAAAATGGCATAAAATTCTTAACCAAGTTAATTGGCAAGCCAC